CACCCGGTCAGCCACCCCGATGGTGGTTCTCTGCGAAGTCTTGTGTAAGCTGAGCGTAACTTCAAAGTACTCCCCACGTACTTGCATAGGTCAACCTATGTTGAGTTAACTCGATTGGGTTGACTTGGCTTGGTTGACTCGGTGGGTTTTTAGACATTGACGTGTTGACTTTTAAGTTTGACCAAGTTTGACTTTTGAGGGTATTTTGGGTATTATTGGGATTTTGATGGAATTGGTCACTTGGTAGATGTAGGTATTGAGTAGAGAGTTAAGATTCGGAGTCGGGCCTTATCAGTTATGTTCAACTTGTGAAGTGAGTTTTCCTCACTGTACTTTCAGGTCGAAGGCACCAAGGCCGACCCTCTGGTTTGATAACCTGATATCATTGATATGCTAAGTATGGAATATATATGCATGCTAGTCTTGATATGCTAGTCTGGTAGATCTATAGGACTACCTATGATACTGCCCGTTTATCTGTTTATGATGTTATCTGTTATATGTCGACATATTGTGTGGGTTGGGTTAAGGTTGTACTACTTCGTGTTGTAGCCAACAAACCCTAGAGCATACTAGATATGAGCTGAGGGTCGGGGAGGGCATGCAAACTCATATCGGAGGGCTCATGAGCATTCCAGATACGAGCTGAGGGCTAGGAAAGGCATGCCAACGTCGTAATGAGGGCTTAATGGTATTTAGTTCGAGGACTGATCGGGCCGGGGAGCAATCCAAATATAAGTTGTGGGCCCAAGGGCAAGCCAGACTTATGTTGTGGGCTCAGGGGTAATCCAGTCTATTAGCTATGGACCCATTGCATGTTGTTATTGTATATGTGTTATTTGTATGTGTATTGGTATTTTGGAGGAACTCACTAAGCTTTGGGCTTAAAATTTTGGATTATGTTTTAGGTACCTCGGAGGATCGCGGGAAGGTGTAGGCATGATCGTGCACCTCCTCAAGTTTTGATTTCATGATTTTGGGAAAACTTTGATATTAAACCTGTTTTTTGAAAACTATTTGTAAGCAATGATGATTTATGTGTTGTTTTAAAAGTTTAAAATTTTCATGAATTTTGTGGATGTTACAAACTTAAATGAAAAAACACGAACAACCCTCATTCGGTTCATTTACAGCCCTACTTGAGACTAGCACAATACCACCAACAGAGCTAGGAAAAAAAATCAATCCTGTTACAGAAACAAAAACAAGAATGAATTTACATCCATAAATTTCTCTAACAAAGTGTAGCTATATCCATTCACAAATGAATACATTTCGTTATAAATACCAAGAAAAAAAATGTTTTGTTTGGTGGTCAATAACGCTAGTAGCAACAAGTCTGAAGAATGGTGGTCGTCGACTGGAGGATCGTCGGTTGTTTTCACGGTGAAACTAACCTGACAACAAAATCCAAAAATGGAGAAGAAATAGAGAGGAGGTTCGAGAAGAAGGGGCTTGTTAGGGTGTTTAATTTCCAGATGAAGGCGGTGTTGTGGTGGTGGAACTTCGACAACAGTGGAAAAGGCAGTGCGGTGTTGGTGCCCTGAAATGACCAAAGTATGAAAGTTAGTCCCGGGGGAGAAGACAAAGAGAAAGGGAAATGAGGGAACCACACAAACCGTTGTCGAAATTCGATGGCCTTCATCGCCTGTGACTTTGGTCTCTATTGGAAAGATAAGCTTCGCCAATGAATGAAAAGGGACAATGTAAAATGTGTTTTTACTTTAAAACATTAGTGACGACACCACATTTTACTTGAGGCAAAAAATCTCGCCATCCTCTTTTCGACCTTTAGCAGTGATGGTAAATGCCGGTACACCCTAGCCTCTGGATCACTATATACAATTAACGGCTTGGATTTACGGTGGACAAAGCAAATGGATCCCTAGTTATAGCTTTAGTGATAGTGACACCACTGTTAGCGGGGACGAAAGTATTAACAGCGACACTAAGTGTGTTTGTTCATTTCACCACTAAACCCTAATACTCTCGTCAGTCAACCCCACTATTAATGGTGCCACTGAAGCTTATTATTCTTGTAGTTGAGATATATTTTAATGTGAAAATAAGAAAATGTTTAGAAAAAATATCTTAAATAGATGTTGGTAGCTTTTTAGGTTTCGTCGTTATATAACGAGTCTACTACATAATGTTTAAATTTTGAAAAGATAATCATTTTGTTTTATTATTATTATTATTATTATTATTATTATTATTATTATTATTATTGTTGTTGTTGTTATTGTTGTTGTTTTGGTATTTTTTTACTTTTAAAATATAAAATGTGTCGGTCTATTAATGAATGTTAGAATTTAAAAGTAAGGGTGTTCAAAACTAAATTTCTGAAAATTTCATATGGTGGATATTAATATCTGTATCTATATCTGAAATTCAGATATCCCAAAATGTTGTATCTTCAATAAAGATTATAGTATCTTTTACAAAAAGGAAGTAATTTGTACACAAGAATTTTTTATCATACACAACAATTCATGTATTATATAATTGTACAATACAACATTTTAAAACATCAATTATTGTGTACCGAGAAAAATTGTTGTATATGGATTAACTCTATTTACAAAAATATACGTATCCTATATGAATATAAATTTTCTTTACATTTAACTAATTAAAAAATAAAATGAAATGCATTAACTTAATGCTTTAAACCGACCATAAACTCTTTGCATTTAACTAATTAACAAATAAAATGAAATGCATTAACTTAATGCTTTAAAGTGACCATATAGTCATAAACCATACTTCTTGAACCGTGCATTGATTTTTATGTTTAATGGATTAATATCCTCTTAATTTTCTTTTTTTTCATTTGAAATTATGACAAGTGTCTTAAAATATAATTAATGTTATTAAAATATGATACTTGTCACAATTTCATGTAGGTAGGTGTCTGATAATGGAGCGGGTTTTGACCCTGATCCGATCCAAACCCTTAACAATTATACGGGTTTTGTGCATACTTTTTGATCCATTTACCCGTTAACGACCTGCACCCGCTAACTCTTTTATTAAAAGGGTCGGGTATGGATCATCATTTATCCGCTCCATTTATAACCTGCCCCATATAAATTTTAGAATTATACATTTTTATTTTATATTGCCTAAGTTTTACTTCAAATTCCAATCGAAAGTCCAAAAAGAAAATGCCAAAGACTAAACTGTTTTTACATAGGACTCGATGACTCACCTTCTAGATTTCCAGTCTTCTCCCAAGAATCATGATATCATTTCATTTATATTTCATCATATAATCACCAATTTCATTTATAGAACAATAAATTCATTTATCAATCGGAAGAAAGTTTGTAATAGTTATTCTCTATTAATGCAATAGAGGGTCAAAAACCAATCGGAAGTAAATACAATAATGATTTTAATTCCAATCGAAACTCTTCGAGTACATATTGTGTTTTCTAAATCAACATTTGTTTTATTTAACAAATGTGATTTTATGATTTAAATAAAATGAGTTTGATTATTCAAAAAACCTACGAGTTAAGGGACGAGTTTGGATATTTGCTGATTTAATGGATAATTGTATGAGTTTGATTATTCAAAACCCTGCGGATTACGGAGTGAGTTTGGTTGAGTTTTGGAATTTTTTAAAATGGTTTGGATTAAGGTCGGTTCGTTTCAAACCCGCCTCATTTCCAAGTCTACACGTAGGGAGAAAATTTATGAGGATATTTAACTTCTCTATCTCAATTATTATCCAAAATTAGCCCCTTGCCCATGTATGTTTGCTAATTTAGTTGAAGATTAACCGAAATAGTGTAATTAATTAAGGTCATCAGTTAAGATTAAACTATGTAATTACCCAAAGACAGAAAGCATAATGACTTAAAAACTAGAATTTACAACACAATGAATTTATAATAGTCAAACAATATCTTTTTAAGTATCGTTTAATATTACAATTTCATTTTCATTATGTTTAAAACATGGCATGGATAAAAGCTTGGTATGAAAAGACAAACAACACAAAAACTAGAAAAAAAAAACATTTGATAGTGAAAGTGAAATGCCTTAGAGAGGTGGGTATGGGCAACGCTACAAGGGGCTATTGTGTGTTATAACATGTGAACACCGCCTCCCTTCCTCGTTTTCAGGCGTTATTAACCTGCGCGTTACTCCCCATTACCACCATAACATGTTATAACACGGTTTTTTTTTTTTTGTCTTTTTCCTAATAACACTGGCCCACACCTATCAGTCTTACGTATAAAGTATAAAGTTAGCGAACTAAGCCCTCCGTCTCAAACTATCACCATGTATTTAACTTTGAATTAAAAATTATATATTAAAATTATAAATATATTGGATTTGGGATATCGAAAATATCCGAAATTCTTGAAAATAGCTATCCGAATCCAAATCGAAAAATCACATATCCAAAAGTTCGGATAATTTTGTCTCAGATATTTGGATTTGGATCGGATCTTCGAATTAGGATCTTTGTTAACACTGCTAATTAGAATATGTAAAGAATTATGGAATTATATTCGGTTATCAATAAAAATATAAAACTATTAGCGTACATTGTACTTATCTTTGTAATTAGTAATAGTTATATCTTGTAGTTTCCTTGTGGCTCAAGACTTTCCATATAGATAGGACCCCATGTGTATATAACATCGATCGCAATGGAAAAATAATAAGGCAAGGGATTAACTTCTTTCAAACACAATAATCTGAAACTAGAAAACTTGGAGAATATTGTAAGTTATTTGGAAATTGTTGTAAGCTTTCTTGTACGATTCGTATTAAAAAAACAAAATTCTCATGTTCATTGTACAATCTTTTACTCACAATCACACACAGTTTCTATGGAAGAACACCAGTAAACGTGAATGTTGCTGGGAAACACACATTCTGCATTTTTTTTTAAACTATAAAACCCATAAACCCTTAACGTTTCTTCCACCAAATTAAACCCCTCTTTCTCTTTCAATTTAATTCATACTTAAAACCTCCCAATGGATCCATCATTCACTCAAGAATCCCGAGCCCAGAAATCATTGGTTGCTTCTTCTGTAAAGAGCAACTCCTTTTCCTCAATGTCAAAGATTTCCGGGTGTTCAGGAGAAATTTCAAGCAATAAAAATATTAATTTCTACGTCAACTTTGAAGAATTCAAAAACCCAATTCAAGAAACATCTAAAAAGTCCCAGCTGATTCTTGAATATATACCTTCTGAGAAACTATGGCGCAAAACTCAGAAGCGTTTTCCTAAAACTGATCTTAAATATGATGATGTTTATAATTGGTTAATCAACATTAATCATGAGATGTTTGAGAGGTTTGAAGTTTCTGTTGATGAGATTAAAAAATCAAGATATAAAGAACAGAAGCTAATAAATCTAACTGACGATACTAAATTTCAATTAGTTAATCTAAAGAAAGAGAAAGTCATTGAGAAAGATTTGTTTGTTAATAGTAATTTCTCTAACATGGAAGCTAATCATTCTTCATCTGTGAAGGTGGTTTCTTTGGAAGATAATGCAATGTTGACACAAAGGCCAAAAGTGTCTTTTCACATGAATTGGATTCCAAAGCCGCAAGATGTGTACAACATAGTGGTGAACAATTTAAATCAACCTTTTCAGCATGTTTGGTTGAAGACTAGTGAGGATGGGTCTAGACTCATACACCCATTGGTTAGTTTCTTTTCTTTCTTTCATATCTAATGTGATGCTTTTTCTTTGATTTTTCACTTTTCAATTCCATGATAGATTCAAAGCAAGAAAATATTATATTAGTCGATCTTTAACTTCTTATGTATGATCAATAACACAAGTAAAGTGACTTTGTTTAATATGTCATGAAAAGCATAAATGTTATGGTTTTGTGTAATAGCCAAAAATATTCTTCATACATGTAGTTTACTTCTCTTCTACACACAGGAAAAACATTCGGTTTTCGACTTTGTTAATAAAAGTATGAACAATACCGAGCCTATAAAGCCACCTCCGGTTGAAATAACACCATTAAAGCTTGTAGAAGATGTCAAAGACTTGAAAGAACTTGTTGCAAAGTTGCATGACACTAATGAATTTGCGGTAATTTGCACTTTCTTCCATTGACCATGTTTGACTTTGAGAGTGACAAGCTACTTTTCTTTTGAAATTAGACATTAATTGCATCATTCTATGTTTTTTCTTTAGGTTGATTTGGAACACAACCAATATCGATCTTTCCAAGGTTTAACTTGCTTAATGCAAATATCTACACGAACAGAAGATTTCATTGTTGATACACTCAAACTTCGTGTTCACATTGGTCCATATTTGCGAGAGATTTTCAAAGATCCAACTAAAAGAAAGGTATATATATAATCTTATGTATACAATGATTACAATCTGTGGCTCATATTATATATCGAATTCCACCATTTATAACAATATATATATATATATATATATATATATATATATATATATATATATATATATATATATATATATACACCTCATCAGGTTATGCATGGAGCAGATAAAGATATTTTATGGCTGCAACGAGACTTTGGCATATATGTTTGCAATATGTTTGACACCGGACAGGTTATCTTTCTTCATAAAATTTTCAAATCCAAATTTATTTTATAAAATTATTTTCGTGTTGACTTGATGAATTGTAAATCTTTAAATCTTAGGCTTCTCGGGTGTTGAAAATGGAGAGAAATCGTTTGGACTATTTGTTGATATACTTTTGTGGGGTTGCTACAAATAAAGAGTATGTATCTTCCCTCGTTAAAATCCTTTTTTTAATTCAAAGTTCGATTTTTTTTTCGCTGGAAAACATAAAAAAAATATAATTAAGATGTGTTACTTATTTTTGCAGATACCAAACTGCAGACTGGCGACTTCGCCCATTGACAGATGAAATGCTGAGGTAAATGTCAAGTTTTTCTCATATTTGTCCATTAAATCGTTCTTTTTTAACGTATTGTTTTGGTTTTTATTTTGGCAGATATGCAAGAGAAGACACACATTACCTTTTGTATGTATACGATCTTATGAAAAAAAGGTTGCTTTCATCATCAACAGATCCGAATAACCCTGATGCACTTCTTGTAGAAGTAAGCACCAATATTCTTCGATGTGTTCTTTGTGTATCTCGTGAGATTTTGTATTTTGTAATATTTTTCTCATTATTTTTGTTTTCAGGTGTATCAACGCAGTTACGATGTATGCATGCAGTTATATGAGAAAGACATTCTCACCGAGAATTCATATCTCAACATATACGGGTTTATTTCTTATTATATTAAATTAGCACAAACACATTTTTTTTCATTATTTTATATAAAAATCCACTTACATATATACAACACTCGATTTATGATAATGTAGGTTGCATGAAGCTGATCTCAATGGTCAACAACTTTCCATTGTTGCAGTACGACATCGTATTTCCATTGCATATTTCAAAGAAATTAACTTTCTCTCGTACATGTTTGAATAATTTAAGGTTTTTTTTTTTTGTTTTTTTTAATGGCACACAGGCGCTTTGTGAATGGAGAGACATTGTTGCACGTGCAGAAGATGAAAGTACTGGATATGTATTGCCAAACAAAATTCTTATCGAAATTGGTAACTCAAAAACAAATACTTTTAGTTTCTCCCATGTTTTTGATCGAATTCAACTCTTTTCTTTTAGCTTTACTATCAAAATCTTATCGAATTTGGTAACTTAATATGTAGCCAAGAAGATGCCGATCACAAAGGAAGATCTACGTGGCTTGTTGACGTCTAATCACCCCCACATCGAGCGTAACCTCACTTCCATTGTTAGCATTATTCAGAATTCTATGTATAACGCAGCTGAGTTTGAAGGTGTTGCTAGGAGACTCAAGGAAGAACACATGGAAATGGTAAGTCATCAGTTTTTGCATTTTTAATTCTTCTTATACGTAAATGCATGAAAATTACTTTTTTGAATGCACAGAAATGGTTTGAAGAAGTTTCAGCTTCGAGTGGTGCAATTGGAGCAAATAGTTTCAGCAACATCGCTGGAAATCAATCAGGGAAGAAAGCTGGAAGTGTTGTCGCCGGAGTCAACTGGAATATTCCGATGAACGGATCAGGGTTCACGAACACCAAAGTACCGCTGCAGAACATGGTAGAAAATATTTGCGTTGGAAATGCAGCCGGAAATAGGAAATCGGATCTTGATTCAAAGCTATCATCGAGCTTCCCGAAGTGTTTACAGACCTCTAACGGAAGGATAATGATGAAGCAGAAGGAAGAAGACAAAGATGATGGTAAGAAGGTGATACCGGAAAAGTGGATAGTGAATAAGTCTGCCGGAGGTTGCAAGGATGGTGGCGGAGGAAGGCTAAGGCCTCGATCTGGGCTTGTTACCGACATTGTTAACCGGGTTTAGAGCTTGGCTTTGAAGATCTGGGCATGGCAAAGGCCCAGATTTAGGCCTGTTTAGGAAAGAGAGCCTATGGTTTATTTTAAGAAGTGTTGGAATAAAATGTTAGAGAGGACTATTTGGACAGCGGTTTAAAGTTTGCCAAGTTGAGAAAGTTTAGATAGTTTCAGATTTTGTAGTAATTTGTTTTGGATAATTGTTATTTTCCTACTTTATCTTTTTGTTTGATGTACACCTATTTATAAGGCTATTTGATTAATGTATAATGAGTGGATTACCTCTAACTCCTAATATCCTCAATCTTTGGTATAATTAAGATAGATAAAGAGAAACAGATGACTAAACTGAAGCTTTATTCTCCAACTAAAGAAACAACAAACTGCCATGAAAATAAAATAGTCTACACATCCTACTGTAATCGTGGCTTTTGAAAGAGTGAAAGTAACTTTACTCAACCTACTATTCATTCCTTCTATCGACAATATAAACATATTGGAATATGTTGGAGAATTTCGTTGAAGTGGAACGAGTAGTGGTTGGTTATTGAATTTTGTGTTGCTAGACCACTTGTAGTCAATCTTATTGAGGCTCAACAAGAGAAATTAAAGTTACAAGGATCTCACCCAAAAATTATCCTTTTCAAGCCATCGATCGATCATTTCTCGATAAAGTTCTCAACAAAGGTACCTCCAAGGATATTTGTATGAGATGTATATGTTGTCTCATATTAAGTCTTCAAAAGAGCTCTCGTACGAAAAGAGTATAGATTCCAAGATATATAAACACTTATAAGACCATGCCGCAACGATATAAGATATACTAACACTAACAGAGATGGAGGTTCGATGAGCACATCAGGTAGATGTGGATATTTTAAGCCACAGAAGTGCAGGACATCATCTGATACCATGTAAGATATATATAAATTTTCATATTAACTCTCCAAAAAAAAGTCCTTATAAAGAAAAAAGAGACTTCATTGAAAGCATATGTTTCGAATTATTGTCATTGAGAGATATTCGTTGTCAACAAAATTCAAATTCATGAAGATAAGAGAAAGATGTTACAGCGATTGAGAAAATTATTTGATCTTTAACATCAAATCTTATTAATAGAAAGACTATTTTGTTGTTTATGTAATAAAATAATAGAAAGATATCAACAGAGTGTCGTCGATAAGCAAAGGAAAACGAACCAAAGACATCAACTAGAAATCACTAAACAGGATAAGTGGTTGTTGTCGATGTGAACAAATAAATAATCCAAAAATATATAACATATATTGGTGCGATACAGTCATATAAGTCACTGTATATGTTTTGTAAGAACCCCATAAATTAGAGAGAACTGACTTTGGGTGAATAAATGAACAAAAGAGTAATTTGGTCATTTAGAGGAATTTCATGAATTTAGAAGATGTAATTTCATGAAACGAGTTGCGATAAGTCTAAGTAACATTTATAAGATGAGATAAGTGAGTTCAAAAGAAGAAATGCAAGAGATGGTGCATATAGGCCATAAAGGGTAAATTATGAATTTTATGCTTTTTAGGTCAATTTTGTGACTTAACAAATTAAGACCTGTAAGTATTTAGTACGAAGTGACTTAATGGGGTTATAGAACTCATCCCTGCCTTCGCATAGATATAACGATCATAGAAACGGGTTTAAAACAAAGAAGTTATGAGCATTTAAAGATTAGAAGAAAATTATCCTCAAAGCTAGAATGGAATCAGCTAAGGAGATGTTGATGTGCAGCCACAATGGCGCGGTAAGTGTCTTGATGCGACATGGTTTATAGAACAGTAAAGTGGATGAAAGTTTCATCGTAAGTCGAGGTCAATGTACTTTGCACCGCATCATGGTATATTAGTACCGCGAAATGGTGGCGAAAGTAAGATGCTATATGAGAAAGACATCTATGACGTCCCCAAATTCACAGTCATTTAAATTTTTTTATTTATTCTTATTTAAAAATTAGAATATTCATTTTAAAGATTAATATTGCGGAATTTGTTCACAGAAAACATGATAAATATATTATCAAAGCATTTTCGAAGAAATGTATTTTTGTTTATATTAAAACTTTTGGATGTCATCGTCAATATAGAAACATAAGCATAAACAGATCTTTCATTCATTTACACTATTGATTTACATCTCCTTTAATCTCTCAGTGTAATGTAACTTCGTATTGATACCTGTGATACAAGTAAACTGAGTGGGTTAGGTTAGAAAACCTGGTGAGTACATAAGGTTTTCAACCCACAATAATAAAGTTATTATGTTTCATCATCAAACAAGTAGTCCAATTACCCATCCCCATTATCTTCTTTATTCTTAAGGATCTAACCTAAGAATCATCTATTCTTCATTTATTCATTCCTAAGGAATAGACACGAAGTCCATCGCTACCATGGTTTATCTAACATGCACTAATTCCATAGTTGCTAATGTTGTCTATTAGGCACAGCTGCCAACATTATCCTTTAGGTGCAACAACCAAGATTTGGTGAACACGTAGTTCAAAAACATCTATATGTTGTGGCGTAGCTGCCAATGTTCATCTATAGGGCACTAAATCCAAGCTGCCAGGGTTTATTTTTTTTATTGATAGTATTATTTTAGGGAGTCCACCCACAATACATGTCAATGGGTTTTTAGAGTACATATGGTGAACACATTGTTTACAACACCTACAGGTTGCGAGCCTGCTAGTGTTCCACTGGACTGTCTAGAATACTCTGTGGTTGTCATCTATAGTCTGCTAGATGACTGGGCCATCGCTTCTCATCATCTTTCACATCTTATCATCTATATCATCTTTCATCTTTCATCTTTCATCTCTCATCTCATCTCTAATCTACCCATCTTTACCCATCATACTTATAGGTATAAAATACGTATATAGTTTAAATCGAATAAAACATTTTATTTTGTTCATCCAACATAGATATCAAGAACACAAATAATATGCACACACAGCACGTAATTTATATTAAATACTTCATATCTATGTGTAAGATGAAAGGAACTATGCACTCACTAGTTAAAGTGATGATTCCAAACTCGGGTAGGGCTTTGCTTCTAACGATTCTATTTTCCTTCGATGAAACCTAGCATTATTATCGATAAGTTTTAGCTTTATTGCGACTAATTATTGGTCTAGATTCATCATTAACTCAAAGTCTACTTTCATGATCTATCAAGTAAGGAACAACCAGGTAGGATCATATCGGAGGTAGAGTCCGTTTGGTATACGAAGTATACTGTTTGGAAATCCTACTTTAAACACCTCACTAAATCACTGCCTAGACATTATACTCGTAAGTAGATCAATCAGTATAACGACTTGGAATCACTGATAAATCTTGTTTATAGGTTCATAATAACGATAATGAACTTAAACATAAGTTATACTTAAAGTACAGTAAGCATAACTCAACTTATAGGGGGTTTATCGAGGAACCGGGCTCTGTGAGGGAAGAACTTCTGAGCCAAAATCTCTTCTTCTCAGATCCTTCTAGGGCTCCAGGGATTTCCTCTAGCCCTTTGGAGTTACTATGGCTTTGGGAGAGATTTAGAGAGAAGTTAGAGAAAGAGAGAGAAGGGTTAAGGTGTGAGGAAAATTAGTTGCTATCGCATCCTATTTATAGGCTGGAAATGGCCAAACTCATCGATTTTTAGCCTCCAACTCGTCGAGTTGGTGCCACATGTTACCATCTGGTGGCAAGGCGTGGGGAGAAAGGAATGGTCCATATTTAGTCACGTAACCCCTTTCGCAGCAGCACTCTTCCGAGTTCTAAATTCTGTAACTTTCGCATACGAGCTTCATTTTTGATGTTCTCTATATCCATGCATAGGTATTGGCATGATCTACAACTCTTATTTTGACTCCATCAGCTAATTCTCTACCGATTTTAAATTTAATAATATGAGAAGAGTACATTGTTAACGATCGTGTAAAATTCATAACTTCTACATACAGACTCTGTTTTTTACTGTCTTTTTATCGTTGAGCTCCTATTAATGAGATCTTCAATTCTCATTTAGGTTGTGTTGCCTAAAAATCGATCGGTCTGAAATTCGAATTCCGGGTTGTGCATTGTTATGCTAAATCTTAGAAAAATCATAACTTCCTCATACGAAGTCAGATTTGTACGGTTTTTTTATGCACGTTCCCGGTTTTATGTATACTACGACTTAGTTTATATCGCTAAGGATAACAAGTAATTTATCAAATAATTCACTTTTTACTTTACGCGGTGTCGTGCCAGTTTTGCCGTAAAACTTTGACGTGTCATAACTTCTTCATAATAACTTGGATTTCGGCGTTCTTTATATGTACGGAACCCTTGTGAGATATACTATAATTTGGTTAAGATTATTTATTCTCAATTATATTCCATCAAAAAGTCATTTTGACGTTTATTGTCTCTAAATTGACTAGTCCGAATCTGCAGGCGTTACAACATCGTTGCTCAGTCAGATGGGGACTGCAGCCTAATACGCTTACCACGATGCGGTAGGGATATTACCGCGACACGGTTTCACAGTTCATGTATGAGGAAATAGATTTAAATCTGTGAAGGGCTCATTCTCCATCTATTCTTTCCTAAAATTGATAGAAAGCCAAGGAATGATGATTTTGAAGATAAGAGGTGCTAAAATGAGCTAGAGATGAAGGATTGCAAAAATTAACATCCTCTTCCCTTTAAGGTAATGATTTTTCCTTTGTATGAAGCTTTAAGCTTTAATGGTGAAAATGTTAGATTTACTAGAATGGTTGAATTAATCAAACTATGTCTTTATTATGATGTTATTAGGAGTGTTTAGAAGCTTTAATCAAGTTTAGAAGTCAATCCTATAGTAAAATCCATCTATAGAGAGTTAGGGTTTCAAACACTAACTAATGAGAGTGATGAAATGATGCAATGGAGGTTAGATTGTAATGAATTAAGTAGTATGGGATGCTTAATTCATTGGGTAAAATAGATTATAAGTAGA